ACTGGTTGTAGGGTTCTTGTGTGCCCACCACCAGCACCGCCGCCACTGCTGGGATCCAGCCCAGGACACCCACCTAGGCCCCAGTTGGCCCCTGGCTCATCGCCGCAGGCAGGGCCCAGTCTGAGTCCCAGAGACTGTGGGCCAGGAGGCGTGGCGCTTGTGGGTTTGTGGACTGTGAGGCTTCGCAGGAGTGGAAAGCCTTGGCTTCCACCCCACCCCCGCGGACTGGCTGGGGGTTCTGCCCTGCCGTGGGTCAGGGGGGCCCTGGCAGCTCAGAATTTAGCTAGGGGTTACTTGAATACACTAAGTGTGGATCTCGGGAAGATTAAAGTCATGGAAAAGGAAGTGGAGCAAATGAAGATCCATACCTTAGGCATTTGTGAGTTGGCATGGACTGGTATCGGCCATTTTGAAGTAAACCATCCTATAGTTTACCATGCCGGGAGAGACAAATTCAAGAGGAACGGCTAGAATTCATCCTCAAAGAGAACATTTCAGGATCTATCTTGTGATAGGGTAACCACAAATGAGAAAGTCCAGTTAATACAACTGTTGTTCAAATTTACACAGCAACCACTCAAGCTTGTGGTGAGAAATTGAAGAATTCTACCAATATTTTTCATCTGAAATTGACCAACTATGCAATCAGGATGCACTGATCATTTACGGAGATCGGCATGCAAAAGCTAGAAGCAAGGAGGAAGGAGCGTATTTGGGAATATGACCTCGCTGAGGGCAATGAAGCTGGCGAGTGCGTGATAGAATCCTGCAGGAACAACAACTTCTTGTCGATGTCTTTTGTTACCAACATAAATGGGCACTATGCTCCTGCACCTCTCCAGATGGAGTACCCAGAAATGAAATGGACTCTCTTTGTGGGAAGAGACGGTGGGGAAGCTCCGATGGGCAGCTCAGACCGGGTCAAGGCTGACTGTGGAAGCGACCGTCAGGCGCTCATAGGTAAGTGCAGGTTGAAGAAATCCACGCGAGCCACAATACTACTTGAGTATTTCCCATCTGAATGTCGAGAGCACATAAAGCATACGTTTGACTCATTGAACGCTAATGACAGATCTGTCGAGCCATGGGAGGACATCAAGAACATAAGAAACGAAGACCGCAAACATTGTTACAAACCCAGAGAATAAAGGAAAGATCAGCACGGATGTCAGAGGAGATCTGAAGCATGGTCTTCATCACAGAGTAGTTAAGCAAGTGCAAGAAGTGGTACAGCCCAACAGCAAGCTTCAAAGGGCAGCTCTGTAACACAAAGTAAAGTATTATCACGAAATGTGCAAAGACCGGGGATGAGAAAATCAAAAAGGACGGCTGCACTCAGCGAATCTCTAGCTGCAGGGACTGAGGAAACACGCAAATTGCAATATTGAACTATTCTGTGGGGAAAATATTGAAGGGTGCAGGGAGCATCCAAAGAGGAGGGAAGGAACCCACAGAGACACAAGATGAAAAAGAACTAGTCAACAGTCACTGTTTCAAGAGATGGCATACGGTCAAGAATCAGTAGCACTGAAGGAAGACATCTCAGCTACACTGAAGGCATTAGCAAAAACCATGGCTCCTGGATTTGACGGACTAGCAATTGACAAGATTCAAGGAGCTGATGAGGCGCTGCAAGAACTCTCTCCTCTGTGTGAGGGATTTAGACAGCTACTTGATCAGCTGACAGGAAGAGACCCAAGTTTGTGCCTCTTCCCAACCATGTTCCCCTACAGGGTGCAGAGATGATCTGCCCGTGGCACACACATGAGGGGAAGTTTGCTGAAGATCATCCAACAATGGTTGCAGCGCTGCACTGACATGCAGCTGCCAGAGGAATGCCGAAGGAGGACACGGAACACGGGGTATCATGGTTGATGTCAGACGGATCTCAGCTCACAGCAGAGGGTACCAGAAAAAAATCTTTGTGTTGTATTAATTATGTAAAGGTATTTAACTGTGTGGATAATAACCAACTGTGGGTAACAGTGACAAGAATGGGAATTCCAGAACACTTCGTTGTGCTCATGTGGAACTTGTACACCGATCAAGAGGCAGGCTTTCAAAGAGAACAAGGGACTATTGCATGGTTGGAAACCAGGAAAGGGATGTGTCAGAGTGCTGTCCTTCCATTCTATGTGCTCAATCTATATGCCGAGCAAATATTCCGAGAAGCTGGGCTGTATGAAGAAGACTCAGCATCAGGACTGGAGGAAGGCTCTTAACATATGCGCATGTGCACAGGACACAAGCTCACCTGCTGAAAGTGAGGAGAACTCGAAGCACTTGCTGATGAAGATTGAGGATTGCAAACCTTTGGTATGAATTACATCTCAGTGTAAAGAAAACCAAAATCCTCAAAACTGGACCAATAGTTAACATGATAACTGGAGAAAAGATTGAAGTTGTCAAGGATTTCAGCAATCTTGGATTCACAACCAGTGCTCATGGAAGAAGCAAATAAAGTGTTGCATTGAGTGGATCTGCAGTACAAGATCTCTTGAACGCGTTGAAGAGCAAGGAGGTCACTTTGAGGACTGAGGTGTGCCTGACCTAAGCCATCGCATCCTCAACCACCTCCTATGCGTGTGGAAGTTGGACATTGAGTAAGGAAGACCCAAGAAGAATCGATGCCTGTGAATTTTGGCTCCAGCCAAGAATATTGAAAATATTGAATATTGAAAATACCATGGACTGTCCAAAGAACGAACAGATGTATCTTGGAAGAAGTCCAACCAGAATGATCCTTACAGGCAAGGATGGCGAGACTTCATCTCACACACTCTGCACATCTTATCAAGAGAGACCAGTCCCTGGAAAAAGACATTATGCTCAGTTAAGTGGGAGGGCAGTGGGAAAGAGGAAGCCCTTTGATAAGCTGGACTGACACAGCGGCTTCAACAATGGCCTCAAACATGGCAGTTCTGAGGATGGTACGTGACCAGGTGATGTTTCCTTCTGCTGCGCAAAGTTACTCTGAGCCGTTGAACTGACTCAACAGGACCCAACGACAATTTAGTTTCTCATAGTGACATTATGTGGTTCTCTCTGTACCAGTCTTGCTTTGCTGGTTAGGCTTATTCCTAAATTGATTCATCTGGTTAGTTTCTTCATCGTTAGCATGATTATTGTAAATGGTGTTGTTTTCTTAGTTTCCGCTCAGCGTTCTTTTCCTTCGTATACAGGGGTCCTCCTGGTCAGTGCACGTTGGTCTCCAGCCTGCCGGGTTGCCGACGTTTCAGTTCGTTCTTGTCCAGGCTTTGGGGTCTCCTCTGTATGAAATGATGTCCTCTGCTAATAGAGAGCACTTTCTTCTTTGCCAACGGGGATACGTTGTACTTATTTGTATGATCTAATAGCTCTTTGACTTCCAGGACTGCATTAAATAAGCCTGGTGATAAAGGGAAATCTTATCTGGTTTTCAGTTTGCAAAGGGAATGCTTTCAGTTTCTCTACATCGAGCAAAGTGCTGGTGGTTATTTTTGTAAGCATGGCCTTTATTATGTTCAAGAATTTCCCTTCTCCTTCTAGTTTGTTGTATCTTTATCTGAAATGATGCTGGATTTTTCAAATGTCTTTTCTGCGTTAATTTATGTGGTCAAATAATAGTTCTTTTGTTTTATTTAGATAGTGAACTGGAGTGGTTATTTTCCTAATGTTGAACCATCCTTGCATACCTGGTATAAATCCTACTTGATTATGATGTATTATGTTCTTAATATTTGGCTGGGTTCTATTAGCAAGGATTTTGTGGAGAGTTTTCGCATCTATGTTCATCAGGGGAGAATGTAAATCTCCGTGGGAGTACAGTCTCATCTTTGTTCTTCAGAGCAGCTGGTGGGTTCGAACTGCCTACCCTGTGATTAGCAGACCAATTCCTAATCCAATTTTAAAACATTTTCATCACTTCAGACAGAAACCAGGATTGATTCCCAGCCAGGGCACAGAGGGTTAATCATGGGCTGCTGTCCCAAAGATGAATGGTTCGAACAGTGGCAGAAAAATGAGGCAGCCTGCTTCCGTGTAGTCATGGAAACCCTGTGGAGCACGTCGGTGCTGTCACTCTGAGTCCGTGGCAATGCGCTGGCAAGTACCTGGCTTCTTTCATTATGTCAGCATGCACCAGGATACTGGCCCTTTTCGGGGACAAGTAATATTGCACCGTGTGCACGTGCTACACGGTGTTGATCCATCTCTGTGGATGAACACTGCGAGTTGTTTTCAAAAACCCCTTTGACGACGATCAACAGCCAAAAGGAACATGGTCCACGTCCCAGGGCGCTTCCTACGTGCTCCTGCTGTTATACATAGGGTCGCTGAGTGGAACCAACTCCACGGCACCTAACTACCTAGGAAGGAACCTAGTGGGTCATATAATCCATTCGTGGGTTTAACCATGTGAGGAACTGCCAAACTGCTTCCCAAAGTGGATCTCTGAGAATCGCGTCAACCCAGATCTGCGAAGCCGCTGGCTACTGTCTCGGGCCCCAATCTCGTGTGATCCTCCCACAAAACCACCGCACTGCCCACAGGACGAACCCTGTGGGGTCGCGGGGGCTTGCTGGAGCCCCTGGTGCGGCTGCGCCGCACAGAGGGATGGCAGGCACCTGCAAAGGGAGAAAGGGGTGGTGCCCACTCCGGTCTGGTCCAGCCCTAGGGGACCACCCGGAAGAGGACATTGCGTCCAGAGAGCTCGGACGAGGGGCTGGGGTCGTCCCGAGGCCGCGCTCCACTCTCCGCTTGGCCAGCACACCACGTGGACCTGGCTGGCGGGCTCCCGTTACTTAGCAACCAGAAGCATCTTCCCCAGCATGCCTTGCGCCCGGTTCATGACGTCAAAGACTACGAGAGCCAGCATGCCCCGCGGTCCTGGCGCGGACGCTCACGGTCACCGACCCGCGGACTACAAATCCCACAATGCACCGCCCACCCTTTCCTTACAGTCCACCGCCCGGGCTCTCCAAAGACCCCACCGCGCGAGCGCCAAGACCCTTTCCCGGCGCACACCGCGCCGCCGCGTTCTCCCGCCGGTGACCCGGCGTGCGTGGGGTCAGGGCACCGGGTGCAGTGGGTCGGGACCGGGGCACCATGCGGCGGGGCGAGCGCAAGGGCGCCGGGGGCTTGCGGCCGGGGTCCCCCGTGCCCACGGGCAAGGCCTCGCTGGAGGAGCCGCCCGAGGGCCCAGGCCCCGGGCTAGCGGCGGGGGAGCGCGCCGGGTCGGGCCGCCGGAGCACCGAGTCCGAGGTCTATGACGACGGCACCAACACCTTCTTCTGGTGAGGGCGGCGGTGACCGCGCGACCTGGGGGTCCCCAGGGCGGGGTGACCGCAAGGTCCGGGGTCCCCGCAAGCCTGACCCAGGCCGAGGGCTGGGCTGGCTTCGTGGCCCCTGGTTCCCGCTGAGCCCCATCCAGGCCGAGCTGGGTGGTCCCAGGACCGGGTGGCCATACATTCCGGGGTCCCCGCTGAGTCCGAGCAAGGGGTCCCTAGGGCGATGGGCACTTGAAGCAGTGTATTGCACTGGGCCACAGTGGACCCGTCCTGCGCCCACCCGGCACAGCCTGGTGCCCAGCTGGTCGCTACCATCCCGGACAGAATGGACTCTGGGCTCCTGCAGTCTGGGGGCTCCCAGGCTCCTGTCCCCTGTGTCCATTTAGAAAAACTAATGGCGGTAGGGAGACTACCCGACCCCCCCCACCCCCACCGTCTTGAGTGGGCTGGCCCGGAGAGCCCCCTGGAGGGAGGCTCCCTGCCTGGAGCTGGTGGGCCCTTATCTCGGTTCCACGCACACCTGGGCAGGACCCCCTCTCGTGGAGACTGGTGATAAGAAGGGTCAGGAATCGCTCTTGGTGTTTACACAGCATTTGTGGATTAAAGACCCACTGGTCTCTTGGTTTGCTGCTTGGGGCCAGCTCCTCCTCCGGGACATCTCTCCAGGCTCTTAATTGGGGCAGGGGTGTGGGGCGGGGACAGCAGCTCTTCAGGCTCAGAGTCCATGCTCTGGCTTCATTGTAGGGGAACCAGCCCTCCCTGCTGGGGTCCCTGAACAGCTCCGCCTGACGTCCCTGTGACCTTGAGTTGGTCCCTCTGCCCTACAAGCTTTTCCCTCATTCCCTGCTGACTTCACTGCTGTGTCCTATTGGGGCAACAGGTGACAAGAGTCACTGAGCTTTCTTCCCTGGAGCTGAGAGCTGGGGGCAGGGGAGGTACACCTGGCTGTGGCTGGCTGGGAAGTGGGGGAGGCAGGGCGCATCCTGAGCCCCACTAGACAGAGGGCCCCTTGGGTGGGCCAACCAGGCTAGGGGAAGGGCTGGCCCCCAAGGTGCTGGAGCTGGAGGTTGACCTGCCCCCTGCTGTGTTTCTTCCCTCCTTCCCTCATCCAGCACTTCGCTGGGGCCCTACTGGGACCTGGAGTGCAGAGGGGCCTGCCGAGGGTGCTGGGTGCAGGGCTGGAGCCCTCCCCTAAGGAGTCCCATCCCGTGAGATTTGCACATGGTAGACATGAGGATGCCAGCCCCAGTCCAGAGCCCCTTGGTCATGGCAGGACTTACCTGTGTCTGATGGGTCAGGAGGCCTCACGCTGGTGTCCTTGTGCCCTGGTGAGTCTTCTGGATGGCATTGGCTTTCCTGAGACAGACATGCCCCTACACTGGGGCAGTTGGTCAGTCTGGGGGCTATGGATCACCTTCCTCCCGCCCCACCCCCATCCAGGAGGAGCGTCCAGTGTCATTAGGGCAGGTGATCAACGCTGCCCAGAGTGACCTGGCCCTCACTGACTTCCTGTGCTCAGGTTTAGAATGGGTTCTGCAGTCCTGTTAGAAAAGAACCAAAGCGCGAATGTAGGTAGCCATGGATCCAAGCAATTGCTGCTTGTGGACATGGGTTTGGGGCACCTCACTTGGGGTTCTCAGGTTGGGAGAGGCTGGCCTTCTCCGGGGTCACCTGGCTATGCTGAATTGAGGGTAAGGGCTTCAGCTTTCCGGCTGGTGTGTTAGGGCACAGAGGTGGGATTCAAAGTGGGGACGGCATCTCCCAAGGGACCCTGGGACCGAGTCACTCAGGACCCATCTGGTGTGCTCTCAAGCGGTGTGGAAGGAGTGGGCAGCCAGGGATCACCGCCTCCCACAGGCCCGATTTCCCAGGGGTGTCCGAGCGAGGCTGAATTCCCCCAGTGTGTTGTGTCTTTGAGTAAGAGTGGTGAGGGCCCTGGGCATTGGGATGTGATGCAGGGAGAACTGGGTAGCACTTGCCCTGGGAGCCGGCATGCTGTGGAGGACTGGGCTGGAGGCTCTGGCCACGCTGCCCCTGACGTGTCCTGCTATGTTGCATTGCAGGCAAGCCCACACCCTGACCGTGCTGTTCATCCTCACCTGCGCCCTTGGCTACGTGACCCTGCTGGAGGAGACCCCTCAGGACACGGCCTACAACACCAAGAGGTGACTGGGCCACCCAGGCCCGGAGGTTAGGGTGGGTGCTCCATGCCTACCTGGGGGCCTCCCGAGGTGTGTCGGGTGGTGGAGGCCCCTGTGGCTTGAAGACAAGTGGATGCTGGGCAGGCAAACTCAGCCCCCAGCCAGGGACTGGCCATTCTGTTTGCACGGCTCGCACAGGGTGTTGTCATGGCTAGAGTCCGTGTGGGCACTGAGCTGGCCCAGCCCCATGCTTCAGCTCTGCAGGGACAGCCACCCTCTGGTGTGAGCATCCACAGAGCAACCCAGAGAGTCCCGTCACCCCGCCTCCCTGCGTGTCCCTGGGGCACAGAGTGCCCCCTCCCCTCTCCCCCTCCTTCTGTTTCTGTCCTCCCGACTGACTGTGTGTCTGCCTTGCTCTCGGGGCACAGGCACGGAGGGCTGGAGGGGCGTTGGGGTCAGAGGTGGACGTGGAGCACTGGGCTGGCCTGCTGTCCCCAGCTGGGGCCCCAGATGCTGCCCAGCATTGTGCTGTCTGGGCCCGTGGCGTCGCCCTGGGGATCCTGAGCCTGTGGCCTGTTGGGAAACTGCACAAGCTGGCCTGCTGCTTGTTTGCCTGGAGGGTACTTGAGAGGCGCGTGTCCTTCTCCACACCTTGTCTGTCCGCACTTCCCAAGAGATGGGGACCCTTGAGAAGCGCACCAGCTGTGTGGGCCCTGGCCGAGGGTGAAGTTTGACCCCAAAGCCAAGCTAGCCGGTTGTCCCCAAGGTGGCAGGATGCTTAATGGAATGTCTGTGGGCGTGACCTCTCCCCTAGGCCCTCCTGAGGGCCAGTGCTCTGTGGCCCCATCATCTGGCAGTGGTCCCACCCAGGGACGGGGTGCTGGGCCCTCAAGGGCACTTTCTGCTGGGAGGGCTGTGTGGGGACCCTGAGTGTGTTCCTAGCTCACACGAGGCTCTGCTGTGCCCGGAACTCAGGCACGCTAGCCCTTGTGCAAGTGGGGGCACTGGGTCTAAGCCCCCTCCCTGCCCGCTGCTGCTCCCCAGAAGCCCTGCCCAGTGTGTCCCCCATACATGTCTGTGTGCCCCTCTAGCACGTGCCCAGTGCATCCCTAGCTCCCTCCAGAGGCCCCGATGTCCCCCCTGCACACACAGCCCTTGCGTCTGTGTCCCTGCATGTCCTGGAGGCGGTGGGTCTTTATTTTGTTAGGACTCCTGTGTGCCCGTGAGGGTGTAGGAAAGACCACCCCAAGGTCACTCTTGCTTATCAGGGTGTCCATGCTGAGCGTGGCTGCCCGTGAACTGTGAGCCCTCAGTGCCGAGCGCTGACAGGCCCTTCAAGGGGGTCGTTTGACTTTGCAGTGAAGTCAGCTCTATGGGGGCTTGTGCTGACACTCGGACTGTCCTGTGACTGGGCTGGGTGCCGCCTTGGATCTGGGGCCCACTGCCTGCCTAGGGAGGTGCTCCCAGTGCCTGCATGGCTGCCCCGGGCTGCCCATGTGGGGTGGCTGCTGGATTCGCTGGCCTCTATGTTCCACGGACTGCTGCTGATGGTGCTGTCAGGTATGGCGCCCTCTGAAGCCCAGCGTTTGTGGTGCTGGAAACCTCGCCAGCAGAAAGGCTTCCCCTGTCAGGACCTGGGAGGAGCTTCTCAAAGTGCCTGGGGAAGGGAGTGACAGGATGGTGGCTCATTTACGGTGATGGACACGACCTGGCCACCCGAGGCCATGAGACATAGATCTGACAGTGACCCAAACAGTAAGTCAAGGAGAAAAGGTTTTTATTACAAAAACTATACCTGGTCCATGCATAGTTCACACCACAGCCCAAAAATGCCCTCCGAGGCCGGGGCCCGCCTCTCCCAGGGAGTCCCTTTGCTGCGTGTCGCTGGGGCACTGGGAGCCACGCGGCTGGCATCTCACATGCCAGCCTGGACAACCAGGCTTCATCTCACACTACGGACCCATGGTCAGAAGAGACCACTCCCTGGAGAAGGACGTCGTGCGTGGTGAAGCGGAGGGCCAGCGCAAAAGAGGAAGGCCCTCACGAGATGGACGGCTGCGGCCATCTGCTCAGACGCACAGAGGGCGTGGCGAGCGTGGTGCCGACCGGGCGGGGTCCCTCTGCTCCCAGGTCAGACTCCCCGGCACCTGACAGCCACCAAGAGCTTGTGGACAGATCTAAATGCAACAAGCAAGACCGTCACCCTCTGAAAACACAGTGAGAACCCAGGAGACCTCGGGCTCTGTAGTGGCGTTGTCAGCGTCACCGTGGCTCAGCCCTGAAAGTCGTGCTGGGAATGGTGCTATAAGGGAATGGCCAGGTGAAGATATTTACAAAACATGCCCCTGAAGAGACTTGTAGTCCAAGTGCACGTAGCTTTAAAACTACTGACGGCAGCACATCTGCACGAGGCACCTTACATGGTGACAGATGGCAGATAAGCCGCGTGAGCATCGTCAGTGTCCCGCGTCCCGTTCAGTGCTGTCTGCACTGAGACAGCACCCAGCCGGCCCAGGACCACCGACTCACTGCCTGTCCTAGGGCAACGGCTCTCTGGCAGTGCCGAGCCGGACTGGGAACTGCTGGAGCCCAGCACCCAGGCGTAGCCCTCCAAAACGTGGTCTTCCTGTGCATGGGTCTGACACACACACCACCCCCACCCCCTGTGAGCTGTGCTTTCTCCCAGAGGCCGGCAGGGCCCCCCAGCTGGGGGTGTGCCCAGGTGAGGTGCAGGCAGGTGTTAATTCAGGGCGGTCCTCACCTTATGGCCATTCTTCCCTCACGGACGTGTGCAGCTCTGTCTCGCCGCGGCTGTTCACTGTTGACAGCACTACGAGCCTGGGCACATGGGGTCACGTGGACTGCTCGCCTCAAGGTGGGCATTGGGAGCCCACCAGCCACTCTTGGGAGAAACGAGGCATCCTGCTCCCATAAGACCCCGGGCAGCTCCCCGCCGCCCTGCAGGCGCCTGAGTTGGAATCGGCTGAGGACAGTGAGCCACATCACCAGCTCTGCCGGTACGGTTCCACTTTCTTAGCAGAACCAGCAGCTTCAGGAGGAGATGCACCAAGGGAAGGATGCGCAGACACCGCTCTCGGGTACTTTCTGCAGGGGACAGGCCGGCACCCACTGCTACCCAGGGACTGCTCAGCTGTTCCCTCGCCTTCCACAAGGGACAGAGGCCAGCGCCCATTGCCTGCCACCCCAGAGACCGCTCAGCCACTCCCTCAGCTTCCACAGGGGCAGGCCTGTGCCCACCTGCCACCCCAGAGACTGCTCAGTCGATCCCTCATCCTCCCACAGGGGCAGGCCTGTGCCCACCTGCCTGCCTGAGCTGCTGCTGCTGCTTCAGAGTCTGTCATGTGGTTTGTCTGATCGTGCCCACATTAGAATATACCCAGTGCTTATGTGATGTCTGACCTCCAACTTCAAAGGGGGACTGAGAGTCACCGTCAGCACCCAGGACTGAGTCCTGTGGGGCAGAGGCCACCTTCCAAACTCTCCTGTGAATTCTGACACCCCTGCCCCCCATGGCTCCCAGACCATGCTCACAAATGTGGGATTTGGTGGGAACTACAGTTGGTTACAGTTCCGCATGAGAAATGGTCTGGACACGCTGCCTCTGGCGGGACAGTCTCTCCGCCGCTGTGCCCAGGCCTCGGGGTCAGGTGGCCCCCGGCCTCTGCCCTGCTTGGGCAAGCATGACACGGCTTCTTTTTGCTGCCAGTGAGGTCCGAAGGCGCTCAGCTACCCATCCGTGGGTCAGCAGACCTCCCCCACGGTAGGCCTGGAGGCACCCAACTCTGCCCAGACCTGCCCACAGGCCTGCTCTCTCCCTCTGGGGGCCAGGAAGCCCCTCACGGGCTCAGGATCCAGGGGGAGACTGCACTGCCCCCAGGTCTCTGGTGCAGCTTCCTGCCACCTCTGCCGGCACAGCTCCACCTCCTGGATTGAGGTGGGTCAGCACACGGAACAGGGTCTCAAGATGCTCCGCGCTTCTAGTTCCTCTGCCGCGGTGGTCCTGAGAGCCGCCTCCTGCCTGTTGTGGGTGAGACCATCAAGTCTGTTCTGCGCCTTGTGGCCATGGAACCAAACACTGCCCGCCCCTATGCCCTCCTCAGAACTGTCCTTATGTTTGCGCACTGACGCGGCACGGGGTCAGCCCCTCTCATCGAAGGCCTTCCTCCTCCACTGCCCTCCACTTTATGAAGCTTGATGACCTCTTCCAGGGACTGGCCCTCCTGAAGACATGTCACAGTGGGCCGCCCTTGCTGCTAAGGAGCACCGGCTGTACTTCCTAGACACGTCTGTCCTCTTGGTAGCACGTGGTGCTCTCCGTGTTGTTGGCCGGCACCTCATTCGGATGCGCCCTTCCTCTTGCTTTCAGAGTCCGAGTCCAATGTTCACATGCAGGAGGCCACCGAAAAGACCAGGGCTCAGGTCAGGGCACCTTGGTCCTCAGCCACCTCCTGGCTCTGCAACACTTGAGTGTTCGTGTGATGTGTCCTTTGGTCTCTTGACTGTGGATCCCAGCAAGGTGAAACCCTTGACAACTTCGGACTCGTCTGTCTGTCCTGATGCTACTGACTGGGCTAGCTGGGAGGATTCGGTCTTCTTCACAGTGAGTCGTCATCCACACTGAAGGCTGCCATCCTCGATCTTCATCAGCAAGTCCTCCTCACTCTGAGGAAGCAAGCTTGTGTCATCTGAGTAGTGCAGGTTGTTAATAAGCCTACCGCCTATCCTGATGCCGCATTTTCCTTCATAGAATCCAGCTTTCCGGATTTTTTGCTCTAACCTACAGATTGAATAAGTACCGTGATTATACACTCCTGACACACACCTCTCCATGCAATATTCCCTTGTTCTGTTAGCACAACTGCCTCTTGATCCATGTATAAGTCCCATAGCTTTTTCTGATCCACACAGTCAAATTCCTTGACATCGTTAATAAGACACGAGTCAGCATCTTTCTGGTCTTCTCTGCTTTGAGCCAAGCTCCATCTGGCATCAGCTTGGATGTCCCTTGTTCTGTGTCCCCTTCTGAATGGGTCTGAACTGACAACTGCCTGTCAGGGCACCCTCTCACTTGCACATGACATCCATAGTACTGTTCTGTAATCTGGGCCTTCTGTTGGGTCACCTGTCTTTGGTGTGGGTACAGATAGGGCCTCTTCTAGGCAGTGGGCCAGGTAGCCAGTCTTCCAAGTTTCTTGGCCCAGGTGAGTGAGCGCTTCCTGTGCTTCAGCAGGAGGTGGCGCTGAGGGTGTTGCAGCCTAGTGAGGGGGCCGCCATGCTGTCGGGAGGAGCCGGGGGTGGGGCAGGGGGCTGCAGACTCACGGTGTCCTAGACCTGGGGCCAAACGCCGTGTTCCGATGCAGAGACCCGTCCCTGGAGGGACAAGTGTTCACATCACTTGCCTTTCCTCAGAGGGGAGTGCCACTCAGGGACCCCTGCCTCAAGGGCACACGCTGGTTCTGACACACCATGACCGATACTGGAGCTGGACAGTTAGGGTGGTAGGTAGTGGTTGGGCAAGGGCCGGGGCTCATTGGGGGTGTGGGCAGCTTGTCTGGGTTCGTGTCCATGCAGGTGGTCCCCAGGGAATATTGACAAATGGGGACCAGCAGGTGTCAGTGGATGCACTCCCTGGCCCTGTCCCCCAGCAACAGTGAGCACATCTCGGGACAGGGGACAGTGGGGCCCCTGGCAGGCAGCCTGAGTTGAGGGCTGGGCAGGAAACGGGGTGCACCTGGGATGGGCCCTGGCACCATAAGGGATGGACGCGGGAGTCAAAGGAGAGGTGGTGAGCTCGGGGGGCCTGCAGGGAGGGGAGTGGGGAGTTAAAGCAACCTGATTATCCGCTGGGGTTCAGCTGGCAGCTGTGTCCACACCCGACGCAGCGACCCTCTGCTCCTTCATAGCAGGACCCTGCGCGGGTCGTCCTGGTTCACGGTGACCAGAGGGCCAAGGCAGTAGGGTTTCCCAGCCCATGAGCTCTATGGAGGCACAGGGCCACATGGTCCCTGGACAGAGCCGCTGGTGGGCTTGAGCCACTGGACAACATACAACCACTGCCTCACCTGGATTCCTCACGTCCTGTCTGCGCTGCTCAGTGTCTGGAGCGAGCCAGTTTACAAGATGCGGGCCAGGCTCAGGTGGGTGCATGTGACCCCCTGGAGCACTGGCTGCTGTCAGTGATGCTTCCCTGAGAGGCGCTGTGCACAGCCTCCCAGAACATTGGCAGGTTGGGGTTGGCCAGAGCCAGGGACTGAGCGGGCAGCACTTGGGGCCAAGCAGCCCAGAAGTGTGTGAGTCACAGGTGGAGCCAGGAGGGTAGAGGGTAGCTGGCCAGGCGGCCGGCCTTGGTGCTGTTACTTGGCCACCTGGAGGGCCAGCTGGGCACATCTCCCAAGAGCCACACGGGGGGCTCCCGGGACTGGCCATGCTGGGCTGAGGGATGGTCCCTTCAGTGTGCACTCCCTCAGAGGATGCCGGGTGGGGTTTCCAGACCCTGGCCACAGGCAGGAGGTTGGGGCCCTGGGGAGGAGGGCCTGCCGTGGCAATAGGACCCACCATGCAGTCTGGGTACGAGGCATGGGTGTTCTGTGGCCCGGCCCTGGTGGCGGCTGGTGATGTGGGCTGTCTGCAGCAGGGTTGCCTTCTGACCGTAGCATCTCCCTGTGGCTGGGCTGGACCTGCCAGGATCGCCGAGCTACACCCCCGCCTCCCGCCCCTTCCTGGGCATGTGTGTCCTGCCAGCTCAGTGTGGACACGGTAGAGCTGACTCACACTGAGGGGTCCGTTGTGTTTGCAGAGGGATCGTGGCTAGCATCCTGGTCTTCCTGTGCTTTGGAGTCACCCAGGCCAAAGATGGGCCCTTTTCCAGACCTCACCCAGGTAAGCTGCCGTCGGACACTTCCGCCCGCCCTCTGGGCCAGCCCCCTACCCCTCACCCCTCAGCACAGCTGTGGCAGATTCTCAAACACCTGGGGTCAGACCTTTGTGGGAGAGCAGTGGGGCCCAGATCCCACCCCCTCAGGACCTGTTCCTCCCCCACTTCACCTCCCTGACCCCACCCCTAGAGTCCCACCCCGTCCAGCCTGCCCCCCTCAGCTCTCACTCCCTACTCTAGAGACGCCCGGGCTGGCCACAGGAGGACCTAGGCTCCCTACAGTGGACCCCTAGTCATGTTTGCGTGTCTCCTCCCTGCCTCTGGGTAGGAAGTACGTGAGGCAGCTAGTAAGTCGTGTCCGAGGTGGAGAGCACATGGAGGCCACAGCAGCCACTCTGTAGGGTGAGCGAGTGCAAGGCCGCTACTGCCCGTAGAGCCCCGAGCAGCCAAGACCTGGTGGCCATCTTGTGGACCCTCCGCTTTGTCGTTGTAGCTTACTGGCGATTCTGGCTCTGCGTGAGCGTGGTCTACGAGCTCTTTCTCATCTTCATCCTCTTCCAGGTAAGCAGCTCTTCCTGGTTGGAAAAGCAGTGGGGCGTTGGATGACACGTGGCCCGGGGCTTGGCCGCACACTCTCAGCCCACCGGCACTGGGGCAGCATGGCTGGAGCCCAGCAAGGTGGGCCGAGGTTCCCGCTGTGGGGACAGGAGCCTGCTGTGGGAGTGCACCTTAGTCCTCAAATGACACCCTTACTCTTCAGCACAGTGCAGAGGTCTCGTGTGGCAGGCGTGCCCCGTGATGGGCCGTGCGCGCATGCACAATGCACCCTTGACAGCTGTGATCCCTTTCCGTTCTTCGTGACACCGTCTGCGGGTCCAGCTGTAAGGACCCCGGTTTTCTTTGTTGGCTCCACCCATACTGAAGCTTGCAGGCTCTGGTCTTCCATCTGCAAGTGCTTCGGGTCCTCGGAGCTCTCAGCAGGCCACGCTGCGTCATCTGCGTGCTGCACACCCACGCACTTCAAGCGTGGTGGGAGATGCGTGCCTCTCCTGATGCCGTAGCGAGGAGTCTCCTCTTGTTCTGTGTGCACGGTGGCCTCTTGATCCATGTACAGGTTCCACACAAACTCTTCTCATATTGGGGATGGTCCACCCCGTCGAATGCCTTTGCCCAGCCAATAAAACACAGGTAAACATTTTTCTGATATTCCCTGCTCTGAGCAAAGACGTGTCTAACGTCAGTCCTGATGGTCTTCGCTCCATCAGGAATCAGGCAGCTCCCAGGGTATTGCAGCAACCATTTCTGAATGATCTCCAAGTAAAATTTTCCAGAGACGGTCTCTCCTGATAACATGTTCAAGTTACATGCGCTGGAGTACTGCCATCCTTGTCTTTAAGGAGCATTCTGGCATCCTCCTTCCCACACGCAGCCCACGGGACGTCCCATAGTCTTCTCCAGCACCCCGCTTCACGGGCCTCGAGTCTTCTTGGGTCTCCCTTAATCAGCGTCCAGCTTTCACACACACGCGAGGCAATGGAGAAGACCATGGCTTGGGTCAGGCACCCTGAGTCCTCAAATAACCCTCGGTGTTCTTCAACGAGGTTTTGTGCAGCAGATTTGCCTCATGCGGCATGTCGTTTGATCTCTGCTGCTGCCGTCAGCATGGATCGTAGGTCCCAGCAAGACAAAATCCTTGACAGTGTCAACCTTTTCTCCGTTTACCAGGGTGTGACCTGTCGGTCCAGTTGTGAGGGTCTTGGTCTTCCTTACACTGGGCTGCAATCCATATTGCAATCCTTGACCTTCTCCAGCACATGCTTCAAGTCCTCGCTGTCAGCAAGCAGGGCGGTGTCATCTGCACATCGCAGGTTGTTAACCAGCCTTCCTCCAGTCCTGATGCCACATTCTTCTGTAGTCCTGCTTCTCTGAGGACTTGCTTGGCATACAGATTAAACAAGCGTGGCGAGAGGAGACGACCCTGACGCACACCTCTCTTGATTGTAAGCCGTGCAGTGTGCCCCTGTTCTGTTGGCACAACGGCCTCTTGATCCACGTACCAAGTTCCTCATGAGCACGATCAAGTGCTCTGGAATTGCCCTTCTTCCCCAGACTACCCGTACTTTGCTATGGGCCACACTGTTGCATGCCTTGGCATAGTCAGTAAAACACAAGCCTTTCTGGTATTCAAATAGAGGTGGGGTTTACAACACAGGTTAACCCTAACAGACCACAGAATGGGGACAGTATCTCAAAGCATGGCCTAGCCACCTGGGTTCACATTGGGGGTGGGGGGACGCAGCTCATAGCGCCCCCTTGGCAGAAACACCCTGTTCCTCCTCCTCTCTGCCCCGGCTGACCACACACACCCCCGGTTCTAAGTCCTGCTTCTTCACAGAAGTGAGCGCAGACAGGCTGTGTCCCGACTGCTGGTGTTCTCGGGGCTCGGTCGTGCTGGGTCACGGGTCAGGGGTGTGCTTCTCCTTCTTGCTACATGACTTCATCCTGTAAGGAGCCCTGGTGGCGAGCCTGGTTATGCATCGGACTGCCTACCACACGGTCAGCAGTTCAACCCCCCTAGCCACTCCACGGGAGAACAACAAGGCTCTCCTCTCACGTAAGGACTTACAGCCTCGGGACCCACAGCATTTCTGCTGTCCTGGAGGGTCGTCATCTGGTTTGATTCTGTTGTCTGGACAGACAGATGGCGTAGCCGTCTGTCCATCTAGTAAGGGCATTTTGGTTGTGTCCGCCCTTGCACTGGTGTGGACAGTGCTGCCTCGGGGATTGTGTGTGGGTGTGTGAGATCCTGCCTTTGCTTCTTGGCACACACGGGGGACTGGGGATGCTGGGTACAAGGATGGTTCTCACTCCATTTCTTAGAACTACCAGGCCAGTTTGTATTGCGGCTGCACTGTGTTAAAGGAGCCCCGGGTGTGTGTGTGTGTTTTCTCTCATGCTATTGATGGGACCTTCTGCTCCCATAAAGGCTGACCGTCTCCGAATCAGTTGAAATGCATCCAGTGGCACTGGGTTCGGTCTGGCTTGGTCTGGCTTGATTGAAAAGACCTGGCTTGGTCAGGTGGATTTTAGGCCTCAAAGTAACGGTCTGGATCGAGCTCCCCTCCCTCAGCAAGCAAAGTGGTGTCATCTGCTTATCACAGGTTGCTAACAAGCCTTCCAATCCTGACGCCACACTCTTCATAAAATCCAGCTTCTCCGAGGGTTTGCTCAGCATACAGACTGAACGACTGGTGAAAGGAGACCCTGACACACACCTACCCTGATTTACAACCATGCAGGGTGCCCTTGTTCTGTTCACACAACTGCCTCTTGGTCCACGTACAGCTTCCACATGAGCACTGAAGTGTTCCGAGGAATCCCCCTTCTCGGGGCTGTCCACAGTTTGTTATGATCCACACAGCCACATGCCTGTGCCTAGCCAGTAAAACAGAAGTAGACATCGTCCTGGTAGTTTTTGCTTTCCTCAAAGATCCATCTGCCATCGGCAATGATCTCCCTTGTTCCACGTCCTCGTCTGCATCCGGCCTGAACTTCTGGCAGCTCCCTGTCCAGGTCCTGTTGCATCTCTTGCTGGATGATCTTTTTTTGCTTGCGTGTGGTCTCAGTGACAGTGTTCTATGATTTGAGCTTTCTGTGGGGTCGCCCTGCTTTGGAGTGGGTTTAAATAGGGCTCTCTTGCAGTCAGCAGACCAAGTTCTGCCTTCCAGATTTCCTGCGTGGACGAGTGAGGGCTTCCAGGGCTTCCTCAGCTTGGTGAAACATTTCAGGTGCTTTTCCACCCATTCCCAGAGCCTTGTTTGTGGCTGATGCTTTCAGTGTGGCTTGAACTTCCTCCTTCAGCACCGCTGGCTCTTGCCCAGATGCCGCCTCCTGCGCTGGTGGAGTGCTAACTAGTTCCAGATGCATATGGTTCCCCAACATTTCCTGCCAATCTGTAGGTTGTCTTCCCTTTTTCATATAAGAAACCTCTGGTAAACCAGTGGGGTTTGATCTGTGTGAGATCTCCTCTATCAGTGTTGGCTTCTGCTGCTCTTGCTTTGCTATATCCAAGAAGCCATTGGTAATAACTTCCTTTTTCATTGGGTGTTGTGTATGGTGTGAGGCAGGGATCCTCATTTGTTCTGCATGTGGGTAGGTGGCCTTTGTGTGCAGAGGGCCCCCTCCACCCCCATGTCCTGAAACGGACACGCGCGCTCTGTCCACTGACCCTCTAGAGCATGCAGGTTCCCTTCGGTGGCTGTCGGTGTCATGGCCTGCATGCTTGGTTTTCGGGTTTTGTACCTGTGCTGGGGGGTGGGCGTGTGCATCCTGGTCTTGAGGAGGGCTGGGCCCTGGTCCCCACTCCTGGGGTGTCTGCCCAGTCTGGGCCGGCATCGGCTGGCACCATGCCCTGCTTTCTGGAGGCGTGCCATGTCTGCTGGCTTCATTTGTTTTGCAGTTCTCCTTTCAGTCGTGTTTGTTCGTTGCTCATCATGGATTCGGCTTGTCAGGTGCATTTATTGCTATTAATTTCCCTTGAAGCATTATTGTAGCTGTGGCTTTCCAGTTTTGCTATGTAGCCTTTTTGTTGTTGTGAAGTTCAAATTCCGAAACCCCTGCAGCCCAGGAATCCGGCGGCAGGGCTTCCCCGGGCCTGGCACCGCCTCCGAGGTGCCCCCTGCCCCTGTCTTCCATGTTCTGTTGCTGCCGCCGCTGCTAGGCTCTCTTCACTCAGTGGTCCAATCGGAGAGAGGCACGTGTACACCTGCGCACTAGGAGAGTGAGGTGCAGGGGCCTCCAGGGGCCTGAGCAGCTGGCCCTCCGGAGCCCCGCAGACGTGGGGCTCACTGCCCGTGGCCAGTGCCCTGGGTGCCCCTGACGGGCGGGCGGTGCCGGCTTTGCAGACTGTGCACGACGGCCGGCAGTTCCTCAGATACATCGACCCCAGGCTGGGCGTGCCACTGCCGGAGCGGGACTACGGGGGAAACTGCCTCATCTATGACGCGGACAACCAGACGGATCCTTTTCACAACGTCTGGGTAAGAAGCTGTGAGCTGCCCTCACCTGGAAGCTGGGGTGCCCGCAGGGCTTCCTAGATGCTGATCCTGCTGTGGCAGAGGTGGGCAGAGGGGCAGCGCGGCGTACACAAGGCACTTGTACTGTTGCTCCCAGGACAAGCTGGACGGCTTTGTTCCCGCGCATTTCCTGGGCTGGTACTTGAAGGTAGGGTGTGCCCCCCCATGGGAGTGGGCAGGGCTGCGAATGGCAGAGGGGCTGGGGTCAGGGGCGGGGTCAGTGGGCCCTGTCCGAGCCAGCGGCCCCCGCCCGCGCCCGCAGACGCTGATGATCCGGGACTGGTGGATGTGCATGATCATCAGCGTCATGTTCGAGTTCCTCGAGTACAGCCTGGAGCACCAGCTGCCCAACTTCAGCGAGTGCTGGTGGGACCACGTAGGTGCCCCACGGTGCAGAGCGGGGACGGGGAGGCGGCCAGGGCCTCCGCAATTCGTGACCCCCCACCCCCCGCAGTGGATCATGGACGTGCTTGTGTGCAACGGGCTGGGCATCTACTGCGGCATGAAGACCCTCGAGTGGCTGTCGCTGAAGACGTACAAGTGGCAAGGCCTCTGGAACATCCCCACCTACAAGTACGCCGCCGCGGGGGGCGGGGGGGGGCGAGGGGGGGGCGGGCGCTCACGGTGCCCTCTGACCCAGGGGCAAGATGAAGAGGATCGCCTTCCAGTTCACGCCCTACAGCTGGGTCCGCTTCGAGTGGAAGCCGGCCTCGAGCCTGCGGCGCTGGTTGGCGGTGTGCGGCATCATGCTGGTGGTGAGGCCACGCCCCCTGCCCAGCCCCGCCCGGCGACCCCTGCCGCTCAACCTGGCCCCTTTGCCTGCCCCGAGCCTGGGCCCGCCCTGAGGCCCTTGCCTGTGGCCCCCAGTTCCTGTTGGCAGAGCTGAACACGTTCTACCTGAAGTTTGTGCTGTGGCTGCCACCCGAGCACTACCTGGTCCTCCTGCGGCTGGTCTTTTTCGTCAACGTGGGCGGGGTGGCCATGCGCGAGATCTACGACTTCATGGATGACCCGTGAGTGGGGGCCGGCCACAGCCCCGGGGCCCTCGGGTGGCCCCCGGAGCTGACCGCCTGCTCGCCTGCCCACCCCCGCAGGAGGTTCCACCTGAAGCTGGGCCAGCAGGCGTGGCTGGTGGCGGCCATCACCGTCACGGAGCTGCTGATCGTGGTCAAGTATGACCCGCACACACTCACGATGTCGCTGCCCTTCTACATCTCCCAATGCTGGACACTGGGCTCCGTGCTGGTGCTCACCTGGACGGCCTGGCGCTTCTTTCTGCGGTGAGGGTCGGGGTGGGGCCCACACACGCCTACTTCCCATCTAGTGGGCTGGGGTTCCTTTGTCCACACACACACCCTGAGGTGCCCGGGTTGCCCTGGTGACACATGCCCCCTGCTCCTCTCAGAGACATTACCCTGCGGTACAAGGAGATCCGAAGGCAGAAGCAGGAGGGACAGGGTGACAAGGACATGGCCGTCAGCAATGGGGACAGACACTCGCCCGGCACTGAAGATGACCTGCCAGGGCCTGAGGACAACCTGCAGGGGCCTAAGGAGGCTGCTCCAAACTGACAGATGCCGGCACCGGCTTGCTCGTGCCCATCAGCTGTGTGGCCACAGCAGCAGCAGACACTGCCCCCGACTGTGTTGTGTCAGATGTGTCTGTTCCCAGAGCTGGTGGGAGGGGGATAGGGTGTGTGTGGGTGTGCGTGGGTGTGGGTGTGTGTGTGTGTGTGTGTGCGCGCCTCTTTGAGAATTGTGTGCTCTTGGTCCCCAAACACCTGGGCAGCAAACCGCCCCTGGACTGGGGCCAGGTTGAGGCTAGGGCTGTTAGGGATGGGTCCTGGCCTCTCCTTCGGTGCCCTCTTCTCATGCCGGCTGATTTGGACGCTGTGAATTGGGAGATGGGTTCCTGCTTCTGAGGCCCCCTGCACCTCCAGATGAGCCAGCAGCAGCATGTGAGGACAGGTACTGGGACCCCAAGGCCCAAGGAGGACAGGAATCATTACTTGCGGAGCATTTGTGAACCCAGGTGTGGTTGGGGCCCATGGACAGGTGGGATGTTCCCACAAGAATAAAGTGACAGCTGTCAATGGCTCTGGTTCATGCTGCCCAGGCCTCGGAAGTCCAGATATGGCCACATTCAAACCTGACGATGCCCCACCACAGGATTCCTGCTGGTGGTGGTGGCTAAGGCCAGGCTAGGGGCTGTGAGGGAGACTCCTGGGTGGCCACTTCAGGGCAGGTACAGACAAGCCCTCGCTCTGCCCTGTCCCTTGAGGTGTCCAGGAGCCCCAGCCCAGGGCTGTGGGGCTGGATCAATTCACTCAGCTGACTGTACGCTCTGCTCCATGGGGACAGCCGCATCCAGCCCCCTCTGGTGGCCCACCAGGACTCTCTTCAGCCGCCTGCATGGGAACCTCTCACCACCTCCCGACGCTGGGCTCAGTCACAGCAGGACTCTTGCCCCACTGCCAGGCAGCCCCATGAGGCCTACCACCTGGGTGCCCCGCCTCCCCCGGCCAGCTCTGCTCGTGTGCCATGGGGACTGTCAGATGACCAACACCCACCAGCCCAAGGGGGTCCCCTGGGGGGTTGGCCACCTCCTTCCTGAGATCTTGGGGTCCCTGAGGACAACACGAGGACCCAGGCCTTTGCAGCGCATGGACAGCAGTGTTAGCTGCTGGAAGGCCATTGCTGAAGGGCGCCTGCTCTGGGATGGGGCACCCAGAGTGTGTGACCCCATTGGGTAGGCAGTGCCCATGCAGGTGCCTACGCTCTGTCGGTGGCCCCAAGTCAGCGGAGACAAGCCAGACAGACTGTCGCCCATGGCACATCAGTCTGCAGCCTAGGGAGGGCCTCGGCCAGGGGTCCTCAAACTTTTTAAACAACAGGGGGCTAGTTCACTGTCCCTCAGACTGTTGGGGGGATGGACTATAGTTTAAAAAAAACTGAACAAATTCCTATGCACACTGGACAAGTTGGCTGCTAAGCAGGACAGGCAGTGGCGGCAAAAACACCTGGTGGGCTGGATAAACGTCCTTGGCGGGCCGCATGTGGCCCTCGGGCCGTAGTTTGAGGATCCCTAGCTTAGGCTGTCTGGCCCTGGTACCCAGGAGATGTGCTTGAAGTAAGCTAGCTGCCCAGGCCCCAAAGACAGAACAGGCAAGCCAGGGCTCCTGCTAGAATGTACTTTAATTAACATCATAAAGTGTCTGTGGTTCACCCAGTGCACGGCTGGGCTGGAGGCTCCCTCAGGGCAGGGCACCGTGGGGTGGGGTGGAGGGGGAGCTCAGGAGATAATCTTCAGGGAAGGCTTGCTCTCCTCCAGGACTGTCAGGTCTTGGAACACCTTGTCTGAGAAGTAGATGTCATACAGCCTGCACAGACGGACAGAGGGGAGGGGGTCTGGGCCAGGGCCTCGGAGCCACCATCCCCTACCCCCGTTCCCAGCACCCCCACACTCACACCAGGCACTCCAGGGTGCATTCTGGCGCCCGGATGCTCTCGATTAGCTGCAGGAGGCCCGCTTCGCCCATGCAGTTGTTGCTGAGGTCCAGGTCACGCAGGCTACAGTTGGCACCGAGGAGCGAGGCCAGGCTGGCACAGCCACGATCAGTCACCTCACAGTCCCCCAGGCTGGCAAGAGCAGTTGGGTGAGGATGGTGCCACCCTAGGGCTTTCAGACCCTGGTGTCAAACCCTCAATGGCCTGGCCCCTGCAGGGTGGGCTGCTTCAGGCTATTGCCCACCCTCACCAAGGCAGGGGGAAGGGGGCAAGGCCTCCCCAGTATGCACCTGCTGGAGGCCAGAGCATCCTACCCTCGGGCAGAGGTGTGGCCCCACAGGGCCTTTCTGGACAAGGACCAGCCGTACAGACACTGCCTAGAAGGCTGTGAGGGCACAGACTCCCACCCTGGTGTGGGGAGGGTGACAGGGTACCTGAGGATGTGGATACAGCCTTGGGCACAGCTGGGGGGTATCTGGGCTAGGACAGTGGAGAGCAGGGGCTTGGTGCAAACACATAAAAGGCACTTGTGTGAGGGCCTGGCTGGACTTGAAGCGCATGGGAGGAGTGTCCTAAGCCTGTGTCACCTGAGGGCCCTTACACCATCACAAGACAGGAAGGACGGGGAGGCCAGCCATGCAGAGATGTGGAGAACAACGGCTGTGTGCACATCGTATCCGTGAAGTGGGACCCACGGGGAGAGTGCAGCGGGAGGAGCCAGCACTCACCGAGAGACCAAGACAAGAACAAAGGGGCTTACAGACCAGAAAGGGGGGGGCGGGGCGGCGGCCTGTGTGGACTGGTCAGCCCCAGAAGAAAGGAGGAGACGAGGCAGAAAGGGGGAGCCTGGCGGAGGTCCTGGAGTCACCAGACAGCCAAGGTGGAGTGGAGAAGAGAACCATCTTCCAGAAACCCTGCTACTAGCACGCGGGGGGGGGGGGGGGGGGGGGGGGGGGGGGGGGGGGGGG